AAACTCCGTCTCAAAAAAAAAAAAAAAAAAAAAAAAAAAGTTTTCTTCAAGCTCCCCCCATAAAACACAAACTATAAACCACAGCTGGGTGCTCTACAGTTCTTGAATTACTGTTTGATTAAATTCTTTAATATTTTTGCGGTGACTTCCATAGATTTTCAAGAGAAAAAAGATGGAATCCCACAGACTAAAGCTTTTCCCATTCACGAACTCCACATGCCAAGTCAGGATTCTCCCCTGACGACCGTACCGGGACACAATCGAAAAGACAAGCGGCGCTGCGGATGCAGAGCTGCCGTGGGAGGGCTCCAGGCCGGGGCGCGGCCACCGCGCAGGGAGGACACCGGGCCGGGGCGCCGCCACCGCGCAGGGAAGGCACCGGGCCGGGGCGCCGTCACCGCGCAAGGAGGACTCCAGGCCGGGGCGCCGTCACCGCGCAGAAGGAGACAGGACGCCCGGGGTACCGGCTGTCAGTCCAGCCCCCATCTTACGGCTGAAAAGGACTGAGGGCCGAGCCGTGCCAAGGACGACTCGGGGCCGCGGACTCTGGAGCCGACTGCGGGGGCCCCTGTCCGCCACGGCCACTTCGGACCGTTTCCAGCCACCCCCACCTCCTCTCTCGGGCGTCGGGCCGACGCTCTCACCATTTCCAGCCTTCCAGGGTCCCGGCGTCCTAGCCGTGTCTCTCCCGGTACCTGCAGGTCACAGAAACACAGGCCGGGCCTGCAGGAGCGGAGGACACAGGGCGTCGCGGAGACTCCGTGCACCTGCCGCAGCCGGAAACAAGGGCCCCGCCAAACCCCGGAAGCAAACGCCCCGCCAAGCCCCGGAAGCAAACGCCCCGCCAAGCCCCGGAAGCAAACGCCCCGCCAAGCCCCGGAAGCAAACGCCCCGCCAAGCCCCGGAAGCGAACGCCCCGCCAAGTCCCGGAAGCAAACGCCCGCCAAGCCCCGGAAGCAAACGCCCCGCCAAGCCCCGGAAGCAAAGTCCCCGTCAAACCCCGGAAGCAAACGCCCCGCCAAGCCCCGGAAGCAAACGCCCCGCCAAGCCCCGGAAGCAAAGTCCCCGTCAAACCCCGGAAGCAAACGCCCCGCCAAGTCCCGGAAGCAAACGCCCCGCCGAGTCCCGGAAGCAAACGCCCCGCCAAGCCCCGGAAGCAAACGCCCCGCCAAGCCCCGGAAGCAAACGCCCCGCCAAGCCCCGGAAGCAAAGGCTCCGCCAGACCCCGGAAGCGTCCCCTCCGCTCCAGCAGCGTACCTCATTGGACGCCTCCCAGACGAACGATCTTGATTGGATAATGTTTGCGGCCCCGCCCCCTCAGGCCCTGAGTGACAGAAGATGGGCTCCTACGCTGGGCCGGAAGAACGCGGATAAAGTGAAACAGCGGCGGGCTTTTCAGGCAGCGCTTCCTCCCTGAGTTGAGCCAGGTCCGTCCCAGAGGGTGTTTGCATTTCACCTTGTGTATAACGTCATATGCATTTATGATAATACATTATGTGGGTATTCACACATGAACATAACCCAACTATTTTAAAATTCCGGATTCTATGACCTTTCTGATTTCTAGTCCTTTGAGCAGGCAGACTGAGAGTTTAAAAAGTAGGCAATCATCCTAAATAAAATGTGAGACACATGTGTATTCTAAATTTTCTTTCTTTCTTTCTTTCTTTCCCGAGTAGCTGGGATTACAAGCGCTCATCACCATGCCCAGTTAATTTTTAGTGGAGATGGAGTATCACCGTGTTGGCCAGGCTGGTCTTGAACTTCTGACCTCAGGCTATCCACTTGCCTGGGCCTCCCAAAGTTCTGGTATTACAGGCGTGAGACACGGTGCCCTACCGTGTTCTAAATGTTCTAGCAGTCAAACTTCAACAAGAAAGAAGAAATAGGTGGAATTCATTCTAACCACTGAATTAACCCAATATGTCCAAAATATTACCATATTAATATGTGAGCAATATGTGACTATTGATAAAGCGTATATATTTTTGGAACTAAATCTTTAACTCCATATTTACCTTTTTTTTTTTTTTTTTTTGAGACAAAGTTTCACTCTTGTTACCCAGGCTGGAGTGCAATGGCACAATATTGGCTCACTGCAACCTGTGCTTCCCAGGTTTAAGTGATTCTCCTGCCTCAGCTTCCCGAGTAGCTGGGGTTACAGGCAGGCACCACCATGCCAGGCTAATTTTGTATTTTAGTAGAGATGGGGTTTCAACATGTTGGTCAAGCTGGTCTCGAACTCCGTTAACCTCAGGTGATCCACTCGCTTAGGCCATCCCAAGTGCTGGTATTGCAGGTGTGAGCCACCTCGTCCAGACATGTATTTTACCTTTCTAGCACATGACAGTTCAGACCAGCCACGTTCCAGACACCCAGTAGCCGTACATGTCACATTAAAGTGCAGCTCTGACAACAGGGTTTAAGGGCCTGAACATTCCCTTTCTGCCAGAGGTGAGGGAAGAGCCTCTCCCTACCAATATCTCTCTTCAGTTCCGAGGATGGAACAGGGTGTGGCCATTAAAAGAGTGGAGGACACCAGAAATAACATAACCTAAGGTTGTTAAGAGTTAATGAAATTAATATGTATATAATTAAAACTACTAGATGTATGAAAAACAATTCTGCATGAAGAATGTATAAGCAAAAGCAAAGTGTGCTTTTAATGAAGAAAGACGAAACATTTTATCTAGTTTGAAATTACTTAATAGTTGTTTCAAATTGAAAAAACAAAAAATAGATACTATAATATAAAAAGTTGAAAAATTTATTAAGAGAGACCATGAAGTATTTATGAAAATCTACAGTGGCCAAAAATGACACATTTCATGGATTTATTTATAAGATTTTACTAGAAATAGCTGTAGTATTAATAATACACTAATACACAAGAAAAGTTGATTTTCTTTTGAACAAAAATTTTACATATTATCAATGACATAGTAAAATATTTGTGTTTACCTTTTGAATAAATTTAAAAACAAAGAAAGTACAGAAAAGGTAGAATTTTTCCCATGCTATCTTTCTCGGTTTTTTTGACTGGAAAACTGAATCTCCTGTATCAAACAGTAAATGATTTTGGTTTTAAAATCTATTAACTACCACTTTGGTTAAATAAATGACTATTATTTTATGGTGATCTGTGATCCTATTTTGATAAAGTGTTTTAGCCCTCTGACATATTTGACAGGCTTCCCAACATCAAATTTTACTTAAAACGTGTCTTTTTTTGCCGGGCGCGGTGGCTCACACCTGTAATCCCAACACTTTGGGAGGCCGAGGCGGGCAGATCACAAGGAAAAGACATCGAGACCATCCTGGCCAACATGTTGAAACCCCGTCTCTACTAAAAATACAAAAAAATTAGCCGAGCATGGTGGCACGCCCCTGTGATCCCAGCTACTCTGGAGGCTGAGGCGGAAGAATCACTTGAACCCGGGAGGCGGAGGCTGCAGTGAGTCGAGATTGCGTCACTGCACTCCAATCTGGTGACAGAGTAAGACTCCGTCTCAAAAAAAAAAAAAAAAAAGTGTCTTTTTTTTTGCACCCTGAACTTTTGGATGCTATAGAGTGTCAAAGTAGCATGAAAAAGAGTGATAAACAGGCCTGGCGTGGTGGCTCACATCTATAACCCCAGCACTTTGGGAGGCTGAGGTGGGTGGATCACAAGGTCAAGAGATGGAGACCATCCTGGCCAACGTGGTGAAACCCTGTCTTGACTAAAAATACAAAAATTAGGTGGGCGTGGTGGCACGTGTCTGTAGTCCCAGCTACTCAGGAGGCTGAGGCAGGAGAATTGCTTGGACCCGGGAGACGGAGGTCACTGGGAGCTGAGATCTTGTTATTGCACTCCAGCCTGAGCAACAGTGAGACTTTGGGAGGCCCAGCGCTTTGGGAGGCCAAGGCAGGCAAATCACGAGGTCAGGAGTTCAAGACCAGCCTGACCAACATGGTGAAACCCTGTCTCTACTAAAAATACAAAAATTAGCTGACGTGGTGGCAAGCGCCTGTAGTCTCATCTACTCCAGAGGCTGAGGCTGGAGAATCACTTGAACTTGAAAGGCAGAGGTTGCAGCAAACCAAGATCGGGCCATTGCACTCCAGCCTGAGCAACAAGAGCAAAACTTCACCTCAAAAGAAAAAAGTTAACTTACATGGAAGCATTGTAAAGTAAAAATAATGTTTGCCAGGTATGGTGGTTCATGCCTGTAATCCCAGCACTTTGAGAGGCTGAGGTAGATGGATCAGCTGAGGTCAGGAGTTCTAGACCAGCCTTGCCAAGATGGCAAAACCCAGTCTCTACTAAAAATACAAAAATTAAGTTGGACATGGTGGTGGGTGCCTGTAATAGCAGCTACTTGGGAGGCTGAGGCAGGAGAATTGCTTAAACACAGGAGTCAAAGGTTCCAGTGATCTGAGGTTGTGACACCACTCTCCAGCCTGGGTGACAGAGCAAGACTCTGTCTTAAAATATATATGTATTTGACTTCCTTTAACTTATATTTTAATAAACATGTTGTTAATATTTTTGCCAAAATTGTAAGAAATTTCTAAAAATCTAATAAATCTGAGTAAATGCTCTTATTCATACTTATGATTATTATAATAAATCATTGTAGGCCACAGATAAAATTAATTTCTTTTGTTTCCTTATAACCATTTAAAGTCATTTCCACAGTTAATGGCTTAATTCTGATGTAGTTTCTAAAACTTCAAAAGTATGGAAAATTCTAGAGTACTGTGTTTTCAAGGAGGTTCATGAGAAGATGGAAAAGGCCCAGATGAGTTGAGTACACATTTCTGATAACGTTAGAATTATATTGTTTGAATTAGGTAAAAACTATGAGAATTCGGCCAGGCGCAGTGGATCACGCCTGTAATCCCAGCACTTTGGAAAGCTGAGGTGGGCGAACCATGAGCTCAGGAGTTCGAGACCAGCCTGGCCAACATGGTAAAACCCCATCTCTACTAAAAGTACAAAATATTAGCTAAGCATAGTGGTGGGTGCCTGTAGTCCCAGCTACTCAAGAGGCTGAGGCAAGAGAATCGCTTGAACCTGGGAGG